CACAAAATAATGTTTTAAAGCATTGTTTTATATGACAACTTTTTGATTAATCACTGAAACATGATTATAATGGTTTGGATTCAGTAATAATTTAATTGTATTGTTTTCATCATCATATTGATATGGATCTCAATTTTTATATTTTATAATAATAATACATTTAAAAAAAATTTTAAATGCTAACTATCAATTTATACTCTTAAAGTATATTCAAATTATCCTGGTTCTTTGTAATGAAATGTTAACATTAAAATTGTTTTCGTTATCTATTTATTAATTTCTATTAGATAACATAATTTAAAAAACAAATTTGTAAAATAAAAATTAATTAATAAATTAAATACTTTGTATCAATTACTGTATAATGTATTACAGAATATTCTGTAAAGTATAAAAATAGCATGAATGTGAAATTATAGGAGTTATATTTATAGAAAGTTTTATAGCTCATAAACAGTGAGAATGCGAATAAGTGAAAAGTGAGCAGGGTATATGGTGTATGGTGTATAGTGTATGGTGTATAGTGTATGGCCTTAAGATATGCCAATTTATTAAACCAGAATATTCTTGACATTGTGTACAGAATTGAATGAGCAGTGAATGCATTCATACATAACGCACACCCAATGAGAGCCCTCTCGCAGACAAAGCACTGAATGTATGGAACGAATGGCACGTAATTTGCNATGGCCTTAAGATATGCCAATTTATTAAACCAGAATATTCTTGACATTGTGTACAGAATTGAATGAGCAGTGAATGCATTCATACATAACGCACACCCAATGAGAGCCCTCTCGCAGACAAAGCACTGAATGTATGGAACGAATGGCACGTAATTTGCGACCAAATGTGAGGCCAATCACTGAATGCAACGAAAAACACGTGAATTGTATTCCACAGCAAAACAATGCGACGAAAAGCCAGTGAATGGCAAACGAGACACACGTTTGACGCTATGGTTGTGATCCAGTGATTCACTGATCCAGTGATCCAGTGGTGGGACACGAGTGTAGTAGTGATGGAAGTGGAGGACAGACACCTCGATGTCATGATCGACATGATGAACGCTGTGATAGACAAGTGTCAGCCGTTGAAGTATTTGTCGCAACAGTTCTGTCCAATCGATATGGTCTTCAGATTGTCTCAAATGATAACTATGTTTGAGAGGAATATCTGCAGCGAGTCGGCCATCGGCGCTCTCTTGCGAATGGATCCCAACGGTGAGGGCTATTGTCTGAGCGCCTGTTCCCTCATAAAGCACTGGCTCTTAGAGTACTATAAACCGAATTTCGTGACCATTAATGGACACAAACTGCAGAACGGATCCGAAGAAGAGGTGGTTCTCACGGCACTTATGGTCTTAAGAGTGATGTATAGAATGAGACAATTGATGGACAAAAGAGTGAACCGAATACTGACTAAAGGGTGGAAAGACTTACGAGAATTTGATGAACAATTGGACGACAAGTTTGACACAAAAAGTGTGACTTTTATGTCACTTCTGGTGAAACACTCGACAAAACATAAACTGATTGTCACTTCATATGAAAAGCGAATCAATGAATTGACTCAAGAAAACCGCAAATTACTCGAAAAGATCCGAATCAGTGAACAGAACGATGAAAATCAGTTGTATTTCAAGAATTTGTCGCTTAAGAAGAATTCGAGAAGTGATGGTAACAACGATCCGACACAAGAGATACCAATGCAGTCAACGGACCAAACGTTGGATCTCTCGCTGAAGACAACTGCTGTGAAACAGTCGGACAATACTGCAGTCGAAAGTGAGACCAATGTTACGAAACCGGTTGCAACCCTCAGGAGTGAGTCGCCGATTAAGCCGTTGAGTCCTATGAGACAACCGATACCTTCACCGGGAAGAGGATCTCCGCGAATGTCGGAAGTGTTGGTGAACTCAGATGCGAACAAATCGTTGAAAATAACTTTCGATGAAATCCGAGCCGTGTTTAGCGAATCCTCGGACTCGGACTTTGAATACTTTGATAACACGCCGACTGTTGCGACGATACCGAAGCCATTGTTTGATGCATTGGTTGCGACCATTGAGACGTCGCAGACGAACGGCGCCGACAAATGTGTGTTGCGGTCGAAGGCGAGTGCGACGAGCCGTTTGAACGCCATTCAGATGGCGAAGAGAGCGAATCCAAAGCTGTGGCCGTCGAGGACTAAGAACTATCCGCGCAAACGGCGCTATCCCTGCAAATGGACGAACTGTCCGTATGTGGCCGACAGACCCTCCACTCTCGTCAGTCATTCACTTAATTCACTGATTCATTGAAATACTAATGATTTGTTTGACAGACGCGACACGAGAGACGACATACCGGGGAGAAGCCGTTTGCGTGCGATTGGCCCGGATGTACGAAACGCTATAAAATGAGCTCTAATTTAACGCCCCATAAGTTGACGCATACGGGTATCAAACCCTATGTCTGTGATAAATGCCTCAAATGCTTCACTTATCCACAACACCTTAAGAGACACCGAATCTCTTTCCACTCGAAACGGTCGTCCCCTCAGACCAGTGCTGCTGTCAGTCGATTATAAACGAGTCAAAGACTTTGTTTCATTTGTTTTTGTTAATTGTTTTCAGAGTTTAAGTCTTAATTCTATTGCAGTTATGTTAACACTATATGAACTATAAATATGACATACCGGTAAATATTTGAATATAAATTATTATATTTACTGTATTTTGTGTTAGACTTGAAGTGATATCAATATCTAGTTTGCAATACATTTAAAATTGTTAACAGAACACTACATATACCGATATTCTCTCTAATTTGTTTTATAAATAAAATTATTAACTCACTATTAATATATGATAAATTCGGTAAATTGACATAATTTAGTATTAAAGCAATTTTTGTTAGATTCAAAATGTACTGTATATTAAAATAGATTTATACCGCAATGCATACTGTAATTTATACTGATTATTTATATACCGGTACAACTATGATATTTAATTTAAAACTTCGATAGAAAACTAATTATGATTTTGTATTTTTAAAATTACTGGAATACATACATACAGTCAGTTTATAGTCAATCATTCAAAGAATGTAATATTTGTATACAAAATAAATTTTTTAATAACAACGTTAAATTTTAATTACAAAATGGCATTATATTCAATGTTATTATAATTAATAGTTATTTGTAATCAATAAGAATTATTATTGTATTAATAAATTATGGAAATATATGCGATTTACGGTACAGAGAAATAACTTAGTACCTAGAGTCTAAGACTGGATGCAAAACAAAACAATTGTCTTGTTCAATAATTTCACTTTCAATCGAAACTAATATACGGATTAAACAATTGAATTGGTTCTCAAGGAATACCTTTTTGTTCGTGAGATTTCTGATGAAAGCAATAAGTGATTCCCTGATCCCATGCCCTCTTAAGTATGACATCAACCACTTGTCGTTTGTCGGGGCAGTGGAACCATTCGGAGAGATCGCGCTGACAGTCGGCATCGGGCGGAGGGTTTCGGATGGGAATGTCGTTCAAACAGTTCTTGCAGTTAAGCTTACGGTGAGTATCGCTTTTGACGTCTTGTTCCAAACGAAACAGTTCTTTGAGCTCTGAAAGAGTGAAATGTCTTTCGACGTTCTCCTCGTTATCCACAACACAACTGCTCAGAGCCTTCTTATGTGTCTGTCTCTGAAAGATCTTCTCCTCAATAGTTCCGGTCGACAGCAGTCGGTATATATAGCACTGCTTTCGTTGACCGTCTCTCCAGACGCGAGCCATAGCCTGTCCATCATTGGCTGGATTCCAGTCGGGGTCGTACATCACCAGACGATTAGCGCCGATCAGATTCAGACCACAACCGCCGGCTTTGCTACTCAACATGAATATGAAGTCAGAACTGTTGGGGTCATTGAAGTTCTCGACAACTTTTCCGCGTTTTTTAATAGACATCGAACCGTCCAAACGAACGAAACCATAGCCTCGCGAACGACATAACCGTTCGAAGAGATCTAATGTTTGCGTGTAATTGGAGACCAAAACAACTTTATCAGTGGTTTGGCTCTTAATGAACGCCAACAGAGTGTCTAATACTCGCATCTTTCCAGAGATATTAGGCATCACTTGTTTGGCATTGAGTGCCGCAAAGTCAGCCGGAAATAGATCTAAGAGTGAATTCAATTCATTCTTCGGGTCTTTACACATATCGTACGCCAATTGAGGACTATTACAGAGTTTCTTGAGGAATGTGATGGCAATGAGTGACGCATTTCCTCCTCCTTTGCCACCCCCTGAAGAGCGTCCGGCATCTGAATCCCTGACAGCGCGGACGACGGCTTTGGATTTGAGGAAAAACGTGTATAAAGTCTTCTGCAGTGGAGTTAATTCACAGCAAACTATTTGCTCGTATTTTACGGGCAAATACTTCGACAAAATAGAAGCGGTTCTTCTAATCATACATTTGTTCACAATTGACAGCAACTCGTCTAACCTTTCCTTAGCCACCGCCACATCTGCATCAGTGGCGGCCGCATCCCTACCCCTGAGGATTGGGTTCTCATACTTCCTCTTAAACTCGTGAGCGGTTCCCAGAATGCCTTCGTTCACGAACTGAACTAAACTGAAGTATTCGAGTAAATCGTTTTGAATGGGAGTTCCCGACAGAAGGATACGACGCTTGGCATTGATTTGGTTGAGCGCGTGATAGGTCTGGTTGTCCTGATTCTTGAGTCGGTGGCCCTCATCGCAGATAACGAGTCCGATCTCTCCGGAGTGCAACACTTTTGCGTGCAATCGGAAGGTCTCGTAAGAGATGATCAAAATTGGATTCACACAACGCCTGCCTTTAATGGTGTTTATAAAAGACAAGAGTTTGTTGTCGATCTCGGCTTTGGATCCGCCATCGATGGCCATAGCGTTCACTCTGTTGGCCAACCATTTGTTGAACTCGTTGTACCAGTTCTTGACGAGACTGCTCGGGGCGACGATCACCACCTTATCAATGGTTGGCTTACAGTCCGGGCTTTGTTTGAGGAGAGTATAGACGAGTGAAACGCACTGAAGAGTCTTTCCCAAACCCATCTCATCAGCCATAATACAGCCATAACTGCCCTCAATGTGCACTCCTGTCACACAATCCCACATGAATTTCACGCCTTCTCTCTGATGCGGCCGAAGAACATCCGTCAGAATGGGATCCATAACCACGTGAACCTTCTGGTCGTTTGGCTTCACTTTCAGCGCCTCGTCTTTGGTCATCACTGGAGGAGTCCATAGTATGAGCGCATTGTCTGCTTCGGGATCGTGTAGTGGACGCCGACCTCCGCTCAGACGTACTCCAAGTGATCGATAGGAACCGCCTGTCAGTCAAAGACATGAAAACACGTTTGAAAGACAAATCAATTGCAAGTCTTGGGCGACAAACCTTTATATCCTTTGATGGGTATAACAAAGGGTTTGCTTAATATCTTGCGGATGTATTCCTCGTGAGCCACCTTCTGGTCGATAGTCTGGTGTGCGAAGTGTTGACCGAAAGTGATATTAACACTCACTTTCTTCAATGGCCTCAACGGTCGCCTCAAAGGTGTGACAAACCGTTTGCCAGATGTGGACGACTCGTCATTTGGGTCTGACTTTCGTTTGTTGCGTTGAGTCGGACAAAGACTTCTCTGCATATTGTCTGTGATTGTCAACGGATCCCACAATTGGTCATAAAGTGATGCTTTCCTGTCATTTAGAGCCAAAACATTCAAACACTGAATGTGTGAATGAGTGCACAGATGGCACCACTGCTATAGCGTGTGATGTAATACTGTAGGCGTTCATTGAATTCAATGCATTCAATGCAGTGAATGTAAATTTAGTCAAAAGTTTTGGTCTAAAACTTTTTTAAAAGTGAATTTATTTTTTCTACGAGAACCTTTTTTATAGCCAAAAATTATCAAATTGAATGAATGAATGAATTTCTTTAGTAAAAATGAATGACAAGCAGGGTATTTTAATTTGAAAAATGATTTATTTTGTCTTTTATATTGTCTTACAATTCAGTAAAGCATTCAAACAAATAATTTTTGTATAAAATGTATTTAAAAATGGTGTTAAAAACTAATTTTATTAAATACTATTGAAGTTTATTACAAATGCACTCATTTTAAAAGTGCTAACAATTCACAGATAAATATAATTATAAGGAAATTATACGTCAGTAAGCATTGTGTGAAATATAAGCCAGGTCATCTACTTATAGCTGCCAATGGGTTCGTATCCATATTCTTCAGTAGTTGACGATTCAGTGGATGTACTGGTAGTGGTTGGGGCGGTTGTGGTTGTGGTGTAGTGGGGCTGTTGATAGCTGGGCACCGGTACTAACAATACAAGCAATGGCTGGTAGTTGTGTCCACTCGAGTAACCCATAAGACTCTGTAAACCAGTGCCATATGAACTGCCGTAAGGTTTATAGGTTGTGGTGGTGGCGGCCGTAGTGGTGGCAGCCGTTGTAGTGGTGGTGGGGGTTGTGGTCGTAGTCTTATAGTAATAGTTGGGCACCGGCTGGTACTTCATACGCACCGGTTTGAATTGTCTCAAACCATTGCATTCATCGGTATTCAGATAAATATATAAGGAAAAGACAATAAGAGAAAGTTTTATGTAAATCATATCCAAATTTTTTTGTATAGAAAACTATGTTTACAAAAACACAACAAAAATTGACAGCATTTGCAGTAAAAGCACGGCTTTTATATGAGTCCGAAAATAAACTAATAATAAGTTGAGATGACTTTCATTTTGGCATAAATTGGTGTCAATAATGTATTCTAATAGCGAACATAATTTAGTTGACACCAAATGAACTCATATTTCTTATTATAGATATAGCGATGAAATTACTCATCAATTAGTTTATAAACTCTTTTTAAATATTCGTTTATTTATAAATATATTCACAAATCTTGACATAATTGTCACCAAATTAGTTATGAATGGCTAACACTTCAGAGATCTAATCGGCCAAAGGTTAGACATCCAGAACCTCTTATTATTATTAGACTTTAAGTTTGTACAGTATTATCATAAACTGATTTCAAACTTTTATGATATTTTAAAAAAGTAAAAATTTAAGTTTTGATTTAATAAAATATTTTATTACAGTCATTTAAAACTTAAGAAAATCAAATCAGTGATTAAAAATACATTTTCTAAACAAGATTTATGATTAAAATGGAAATTAAAGATCAGATTCATTTAATACAACAATTATAACATAGATTATGATTAGATTTGTGACAATCTGTCAATTATTAACTTATGATTTAAATTATTTAAAAAACATTAAAATTAAATAGCCTGTAAAATCAATTGCAAACGTAATGATTATCTTAAAAAACATTAAAAATCTTATGATTTCTTTAAAATACAATCACTTTAAGAGTCGGAGAGAGAAATGGCGTGAAAGCATGCCTTCAATACATGGACATCGAGTCCATTGACATCTCGTCTCGTGAGTCGGGAGAGGACGGCAGTGATGGCGACGAGTGTCGGCCACCAGTGGGACTGTCATTGCGTTGTCTGCTCGTGGTCTCCAAGTAGTGGTTCAGCTGTCGGACAATGGCGTCGATGTCCGGTTGGGAGTGAATGAAAGCACAGCGGGCGCCGAAGTCACAGTAGCCGTCCCTATGGAAGGGCTTACAGAGCTGTGTCTTATGCTTCCTGTGCTTATAGGTGACGGGTCTGAGCTCTGCCTCCGAGTGGGCGTAGAAGCAGCGGTCGTCCCACCGACAGACCCCCAACTCAGCGAAGTTCTTACACATCTCCGTCTTGTAGCGGATCGGGTCATACATCGGCGTATTGGACACCGACTTCGGCACCTCACGAGACGAGGACACAGACATTGCGGTGATGACAGCCCTTCCCAACTCTTTGCACCACTTTCTTGACCAGTATTTCCTGTGAACGAAGATTCAATGAAAGGCCACAAACAGTCTCTCACTTCAAGCGCCACTCTGTCTCTCACTGTCTGTCTGTCTATAGGCTCTCAATGTATGCATTGCTTTGCATTTCACTTCAATTCAACTCTTAATAAGTATTAATAATTGTATAAAACATATAAAGCATTAGTAATACTGATAGGCCTGACGTCAGACCCATTAATCCTTTATTCAAAAATTTGCATTCATTTCAATAGCTTTGATGTTTGCGATCATACTGTATATGACTGTATCGATAGACTCGTGTAAAGTGTAAATGCATTACAAAAGTTGTATAAAACTAACTAAACATAGCTTTTAGTGAACTATTAATAGGAAAGCATTAGAAATAATTATTTGATTGAAAGTTTGAAACCTATTGACAGATATTATCTAAAGAGCGGAGTTTATGGCAGAACTGATCCGTTGGTTAGCATCTGAGGAGTGTTTGTGGGGTTTGAGAGGTCTTCTTGAGATGACAGGTGAGATGTCTTGCATTTAGCCCTTCCGTTGACCACTAAGACAGTGGTGAAGACGAGTCCAATGATGGCCACAACGATGCCGACAGATATGATGCCGAATGCGACCGAATGGACTGAATTGGTGACGGGTTGTGGCAATAGGTATCTCATGATGAGACCCATGAAGATCCAGAAGAATCCGGTGAATGTGGAGAAGAGACCGCAATAGAAAAGCATTTGTCTGTTCTCGTCGTAGTGACCAATACATGAAGAACTCAGGAACAGTTGACTGAATCCAGAAATCATGACTTCTGAAGCAGACACAACTAGTTTTCAAAGCAATTGTTTGCCAACTGATAGTCAAATGAGAGATTTGTGGCGTTTTGTGCAACTCTTATGCTCTTATATACTGTGGTATTGTATGGTCTGTAAGGCTAATGGACTTCGTATTGATTTGTCTGAGAGTTTGTTCACTCGGTTTGTTGTGATCTCACGATTCAGTGAAAGTGTTGTTGTTTTCCTCATTTCTATACGAAGTTAATTGAATGCAATGTTTGGAAACCTTAGCGACAATCCAATGAATAACTGATCGAAACTCTTGTAACAAATGCATGAAAACGTAAAACTTATACTTTTCTCAATTATATAGTCTTTCGGGTAATCATTGGTCTCACGTATTGGACACAAAGTCAAGTGAAAGCACTGTTTGTGATGAAATGAAAAGCTTTCAACAGATTGAGGAAATAGAGTATAGTTTGGGAGGAACTCCTATGCAATGAATTGTTTAATATTCCTTACGTTCAAACCTATCCCGTGTACTCTATGTTCGCTAATGCTTTCTGTCTAATACTGTATCATTCGTCTAATACTTGTATTGTTAACAATTAAATAGTGTATTTGTTTGTCAAATTGAATTCATATGCAAACAATTGATTGTGAGTGGAGTCAGATATTTAAAGCCATTATCCAATAGTAAAAATATTCTGTCATTCAAACTACCATTTAAATAATGACACAGTTTAGTAACTAACTCATACTTTTACTGGCTTAATTAAAACGGTATACATTATTCATATCACCTACAATTCAGATTCTGAATTTCAGAATATTATTGCAGTCACCTGAATATTGGTTAGGCCAGGTTCAATTGAGTTTAGAAATGTTAATTTTCTACAGTAATTCTAGTTACGGTAAAAGGAACCTGTAAATTTGTGATAATACTGTATTGCATACATTTATATAATTGACACCTTATTACGGTAATAATAAAATATTTATTTATCATTTAATTTATTCAAACAATATATCAATTAGTCTGAAAGCCATTTGACTTCATAATAGCATATTTCTCAATGAATTGATCGCATTCCTGTGGAGTCAAGTGTTTGACTGCTTTATAGTAAATGTCGGCCACTTTGTTGGCGTTGTTTTGCATCTCAAACACGACGTAATCGATCCAAAGGGAGGCGTCGTTTGCGCCGAAATGGTTGACAATCTCTTCGTGAATGGATCCAATCAAATGGTAATTAATGTTCACATTCTTGGCCTCAATTTCAATCATTTTCTGATGAAATGAGAGCACATTCGGAGGAAATCCCTTATAAGAGTGATAGTAATGTCTGGTCTTCTCGAGTCCATAGGCAGAGTTGAGTGCATCCAATATCTGTGGTCTCATGTGTTCATTGATTCGTTTGGATGTCTTATCGGCGCTCAGTTTTGACAACTTTTTCGTTATATTCATCACTTCTATGGGTTGCAGTGCTTTGACCGACCATTTCATGTATTGCTCCCAAATGTCAATCAATCTGGTGATCGACTCTTCGCTCGTTTCGCTTTCACTAAACTTATGTAAAATTTTCTCAAAAAAGTTTTTTATCTCTTGTTTTGAGTCAATTATCTTCAGCGCAAAAGGTATACAGAAGTGCCAGACATCGAGATTGTCTGTCCATCGGTCGCAACCATTTAATAAGATTTGTTTGATTTTCATTTTGTTGTCATATTTGTCTTCACACGAAAAGTAAAGTTTTATCCATTCCTTGAACAACTCAATGGAGAGGCAGTTATGACTCCACGCCCTCTCAATCAGATCCAACGCTTTCGACAACTTTTCTCTAATTTTCGATTCCTTAAGACATTTCGACAACTGCTCTAATCTATAGTTTATATACAAACTCCAAATCTGTTGGCTTTTGAATTCAATGAGTTTCTGTTCGTATAAACCAATCGCTTGTCTCTCAAACTCTCTTTTCTTAACCTTCTTCTCTGAAAGACTCAAAACATCACTCGATTTGGTCCACTGTTTGCCGTCTTCTATG